CTTCAGAGGAGGAGCTCGGGCCTTGCTGTGACTGGGAGAGCTGCTGCTTCCATCAGGGGAGCTCTGACCTTTATCGTGAGCATCAATCAGTTCCTGGCTCCAATGTGGATCCCTCAGCTCAGTGGCACAGATCCTTCATCTCATGAGCATAGATTTTCTGTTTTCTATCGTTGGCCTTTGGGCCTTCCAGGTGCAGATCCTCAATACGGACAAGCATGAGCTGTTGCCGTGGGCTCTAGGCCACTGGCTGGACTCGAGGAGGACATTGCCTTGGACTCTCTCCTTTAGTTGGACTTATGTGGGAAACTGCTGGGATCTAGACCCTCTGCTGAATGTTTTGGGCTTCTAGTGTGCAGTTAATCTCTTGCACTCCTTTGCATTTGACTTTTGGGGTAATTATCATAAAATAATCTTAGACATTATGTGTCCCATATTTAATGTATTCCCTAGGCAAACCCTGACTACAACAAGTGTTTACCTGTGTTAACTGGGGGAGGGGGTCCCACTTTTAAACAATGAAAAAGTGGTACTATAGAACTATAATTTAGAAAATAATTATTTCATCAGAATTTTATCAACCTACCATCTCACTCTTTTTTATCTCTGTTATGTAATATAGTACAAGAAGAACACATTTAAGATATTAAATACTGTAATATGAACACATTCTCTAGGTGGCCAAAAGATGAAGGTTATATTTGCAGAAAATAATGTCATTTCAAAATCATATAGCATGAGCATTTTCCAGAACCATCAAAGAGTATTGTGATCATTTTCCTCCCTATCTGGAAGAACTAAAGCTGTAGGTTAGACAACTTTAGGGGGCACCTTAGGCCTAGATAAAGACTATTTGAATGGAAGAGACAAACATAAAAACTAAAGTTGAAAATGTGAAGACCAAACTTTAAAGTGGATTTATTAAGGACATGTTATCACCCACAATACTTCTAAATATTTAAGAACTCACTTCTTTTGTTGTTGGTGGTGGTGGTGGTGGTGGTATTACCAGATACTGAACTTGGAACTTTGTGCTTACAAGGCAGGCCATGGAACCACTGAGCTAAATCCCTGGCCCCTAGGAACTCACTTCTTGTCAAGAATAGTATCGTGACAATTCAGACGTGAAAAGTGTCATTTTCAATGACTTTGTTAAAACCCGGAGTTAGATAACTTGTGAAAATGAGGAGGTTGCAGCCAACACTGGTATATCAGACATTTTTTCAATGTGAAATCTAATTTAATACCCCTACACAAGCAGAATACAGTAAAACCAGGGCTCTGCAGCACCTTTGTGAGAACATCCTGGAAACACAGGTTACCCCAAGAGCAGATCTACTTTTTCAGCACCAGAACTCTCACAAAGCTTAACCCTGCAAACTAAAAATCTTTGTAAAATGTGACATACATCCTTGACTTCTTAAGCATATTGCAAGGGCTTATAATAAACACAAAGCTACTCTTCAGGATGTGCTATGGTGTATACGGTTGTGTGTCCATGTCTAAAGGGCTAGACTGATTTATTGTTTGCTTGCTTGTTTTCCTTTCAGTGCTGGGGACTGAACTCAGGGCCTGGCCCACACCCATACCTTCTGTTTTACTTTTTCTTTCTCCCTTCCCCCATTCACCTTTCTTTGTTTTAACTTAGTGTTTCTCATTTTTTTCTCTTAACTTTTCTTCATCTCCTTTATAATTGTGCTGTGCCATTACTTTTATTTATTGTCATATAATCACCCATAACATCCTTTCTCTTCTGAATTTTTACCTCCCCTTGGCTATGGCTTCAGAATGCAAAGACACTGCTTGTCAGGATAGTGTGTAAAATAAGAATCAACCGAGTCCTTCATTAAACACTACCTCTGTTCAAACTATGTGTGATCGTTGTGACTTTTATTTTGGCTACCTGCAGACTTCTGGACCCTAGCTAGGGCCTGGATAATGGGAAATTTTTAAATGTGCAAACTGGCTTCTGAGGGGTTAACACATGGTGATAATTGTATTAGTCGGCTTTCCTGTTACTGGGACACAATATCAACGCCCACGACTTAAAGGAAGAGAAGTGTAATTCAGCTCACTTTGTAAGTGTTGAGTCCATATTCAGTTGGCTTCAAGGCAGAAATAGCATGATGGAAGGCACGGGGGGTGGTGCGGAGCTGTTTAATCCATGGCAGCCAGAAAGCAAAGAGAAAAGGGAGGAACCTTGGAGGGAAATAAACCTCCCACAGGGTACCACAGTGACATGCCTTCTCCCACCAGACCCTACCCCCTGACAGCACAATTAGCCATATACTTATCAACAGATTAATCCACTGGTAAACTTAGAGGCCCCACGATCCAATCACATTCCAAAAGCCCCACCTCGGAATATATGAGACTTCAGGGAGGCATTTTAGATCTAAACCATAAAAATAATTGAAATCCATGGTGACTCTGAGATGCCTACCAAACTGTCATGCATAAAATAATACATACTAGATATGATTTAGATTTAAAGTATTTCATAAGATTACAACCCTTTGGAACCTGATGGTTCACTTCCAGAATCTATGGCAATATTCTGATGGATTTCAGATGAACCAAAAGCTGTTGCCAGATATCTTCCCCCCCTCTCTCTTGCACACGCTCAGACACTTGGCCTACTGTGCATTCGTATTACAGCTTGAATTCTCCCAGGAATGAGGAGGGCTGCAGACCAGACCGTTCACAAGCCCACCCTGTGAGACACAGAGCTGTGGTAGGAACGGCCTGGCCTGCCCACCACTCCAACTGGCCTGGTACAAGCTCATTCCCTTCACTCGCTGGGGCCCTGCCAAGGCGGGGCAGTCAAGCCTGCTTTCAGTTCCTTGAACACTCATTTCCTCCAAAGAGCCTTTACCCAAGAGTTCCCACTGCCGGGAAGTTCTCCTTCCCCAGGTCCTGCAACCTAGTTTTCTCCTACTCAGCTTAATCACACTTCCCTAGGAGAGCCTGGCTGCTCTGCCAGGTCAATTTGCCCTATTACACACGCAGCAGCTATGTGGACTTCTCCTAGGAGCCCTTATCTGAGTTGTAATTTTTCATTTAGTTGTGTGCAGGATAGATTGCCTGGAAAAATAGTAGGTGCTCAATAAATATTTGTTCACTCTACAGAAGGGAGGGAGCAAGGGCACTTCAGCCAGACTGGCCTCCTCATTGTGGTTAACATCAAGGTGTGCCGGGAGAGTAATTTCTAACAGCTTATAGTCACTCAATTGCTGCCAAAGCTCACAGGTCTTTCCTTTCAAGAAAAGAATAAAATCTACTGGATGAACATTCAGCAGCATGGTGTGAAGCTATTACTGCTACATTCTGGAAATCATCACATTATTCCAAGCAAAAAAAAAAAGCAGAAAATCTTCCCAAACAAATGTCAAAAACTTTACCACACTGTCATGCATGCTGCCTGTAGCATTTGTCTTTTGTTAATTTTTTTTTTCCTGGCTTTCATCTCAAGTGTCTCTCAAGTTTTGGCAATTTCAAGCCTTCCAGTTACCATGGAAATAGGAAACAATGATCTCAAAGACTAGGGGTGGGGATATATCCAGCCTATTGGGGTCCTAGAGTTTTCAGCCTTTAATAGTATTTGTGTATCAAGGGAGTGGATTTGAAATACATGCTTCTGTGTCACCAACACACGTTTACCTGCGAGCCTATGAAGTGCCAGGCATTGTTCTCTGCCAGGAATTCTCCATCTCCAAATTGCTACTTTAAAAATAATCAAAGCCCAGGGATTTAGCTCAGTGGCCGGTGCCTGCTTCACAAGGTCAAGGACCAGAGTTCGATTCCCAGTACCAAAACAATAATAATAATAATAATAATAATAATAATAATAATAAAGCTCCCCAGATGTGGGCTCTCAGCTTTACCCTAAGGTCACATTGTAGAGCAGGGACTATGAACTCTGAGACCCTTTCTCTTATTCTGGATACCCACTGGACTCCAGATATTTTGTAGAGCTCTTCCTAATATGCTAGAAATGTGAGTTATGAAGAACCTTACTGTATATGTTCAGATTTAGTTTTTTCTGTTTGTTTCACAGATAGATTTAAGTATCTTAACTTCCAGGGTAAGAAAACATTTGATGTTGCTTTTGTTGTTGCTGCTCTATAACTTAATTAATTAATTTATTTATTTATTTGTGGCACCAGGGATCGAACTTGGGTCCTTGTGCCTGCGAGATGGCAAGGCACTGAGCCACAGATGGCGGAACCACTGAGCCAAATCCCCAGCCCTACTGTTCTATAACTTTAACAGGTAATAGTGCATACATCTCCAGAAAATTTGAACAAGAGATATTGAAATTTTTGAAAATTCTGGGAAGGTAAGAAAATAGTTTACTTACCTTCTTAATAGGCAAGTGCCCACAATTTAAGGTCCTGTTAGTATGGCTTGATTTCTTTCTGATTTTGAACGTAGAAACTATGTGCATGGATATGACTACACGAATTGGTTTTAACATGTTAGAATTCGCTGCATTATAATAATCCACACCTTAGGCCACCAAAAAGTGCAAAAGTTCCCTGAGGAAAAGATACTGAAGATTCTAAAAAACAACTACTAGTTTGTTTCTGCATGGAAGTTCAGCTTGCTGGCCTCTCTCCCTCTCCTTTTAAAGATATATTCTCTATTAAGTAACAGATGAATCGCATCCCACTGCAAGTCCCTGCCCCACTGCTGACTACTCTTTCTCTCCTGTAATCATGGCCTTAGGAATACACAGAGGATGCCTCTACCAAAAAAGATGTTTGAGGCCAAATCTCCAGACTAAATATATTTCCCAACTTCCAATGCAACCATTAGAGATTTCATTCTTTGGACCTTCATGAGATCTCTTTTAAAAATATTCTCCAAGGGCCGGGGATTTAGCTCAGTTGTGGTTAGCTCAGTTGTGCCACTGCCTGCCTTGAAAGCACAAGGCCCTGAGTTCAATCCCTGGTACCAAAAAAAAAAAAAAAAAATCCTTTAAAGGGCTAAAAGTGGAAGTCATTAACAGTTTATGCTCCCAAGGGATTCTTTAAGCTGAGTGCCAGCCCCTATAGAGAATTAAAGTCAGAACAGGCCCTGAAGGGTGGTACTAGTAGGGTGAGGGATTCTGTGGCCCATGGGGTATGGGGGAACTAAATGAATTTCATTAATTCCACCTTGGATTTCACACCTTCAATTCATGGACTGTCCTTGAAGGTTTCTTCCTCCAGAATCTTCTGTTGCATATTTATTTCCTTTGCCTAGATTTTTCTCTGTGTGTGGCTGTGCGTACACATCATAGCTACATGCGAATGTCTGTTTCTGTCCCCAGACTTTCTTTGTCGTGTGACACCAGCTTGTCTAGCAGTGCTAATCATAAAAAAATTAATTCAGATCACTTTTGGATGATTTAGGTTTTTCAGCTTCATTAACAGCTAATCACTGCACAATGGATTACTCAACTAGGCTGTGAAATTTGCTTTCAAGGTGGCTACACTAACTGGAATGATCATGCCAGGGGGACTTCAGGAGGGTATCATGTACGCACAGCTATTATGTCTTCTGCGGGATCGTGCTTTTGTCTGTGAACTGTCTGTGCATGTTCTTGGCAGGTCCCCTTCCTTATTCTCCATTCACTGCTCTACCTCAGCCTCTTCTGGCTCTACCTTCAGAAGCCTCTGTCACCAAACCTTTCATGGAGAGTGAGAGCTCAGTTGGGCCTTGCATCGTGCTGTGAGGAGTGTCCCTGTGTGCCTTTAGGTGAAGCAGGCCAGCCAACTTCACCCCATCAGGGTTCAGAGTGAAGCTGGGAGGTGAAAGATGTGTAGCCAGAAAGCTGGGAAAGATGCCACTGGGGACACAGCCAGGTGTCTGGCCGCCCTCAGAAAACATTCCTCTTGCCATGCCCTGAGGAACAAAACATCAGTGACAGAGGCATGTCTCTAGAGCCAAAGTCACATATGAGCGCTTTCTCCAACCACTGAAAATATTCTGGTGGGACTTTTAGTCGGCCTGAGAGCAACTGAGAGCCCCACCTCCACCCCACACAGAAACCCACCCCCCAATTCCTGCACTGGCTTTGACCAACAAAACTCAATTTAGCTCCAGTGGTAGCTGATTGGGGTAGGGCACTGGAGGCCAGCCCTAGCATCCACAGTCAAGTCCCGTAACACAGGCCACTAACTTCTCTGGCCACACAGAGTGCTCGGTTAAGTGGGACCAACCCTGTTTACCTTTGACAGGAGCCATATGCAAGGGCTGGTTGGGTCTGTCAGGGGTTTTCTCTTAACATTTGTCAATGACCATTGTCAGGTGTTGCTAGGGTTGCGGGAGAAAGATTTCATTTGATTGGCTAAGCAACTGTATTCCTTAACCAATCCAAATGCTGTGCCTGGGGGAGGGGTGCTTAACAAGATAGAACAATATCAAGCACAGGCAGACGCCTTCCGTATACTAATAAGGCGTCTGGAAAAATGGAATTATAGTGTGTAGGAATCCCATGCCCCATCACAGCTCAAGCCATGGCCTGGTTGCTGCTCAAAATGTTACAGTATAAGTTAAAGTCATTCTCACTGATGGGAGGATGTCAAGATTTCAAAGCAGGCGAGTAACCATCCTCAGGAGGAAGTAAAACTCCTTGCTCATTGTGTTTTACAGCCTTCCTTAGTAAAACTGCTGAATTGTAATTTGAAATATTCCACCCTTTCAAATAAATAAGCACAGCCCTTAAAAACAGGAAGTGAGAGAGTCTCACACGTAATGTCAACTAAACAGTCACAGATTCTCCATCCCAAGGAAAAGTTGAAAATCACAGAACAGTCAGACAAATTCATTTTAGAATGATGGCAACGAGGGTCACCGCCAAGGGAGGCATTATGCCTCTGGCAGCACACTCTGGGGCTGAAACCTGAATGCTAATTAGGAAACAAATGACAGACAAATATTACCTTGAAGGGAAATTTGGATCTGGCCAGATCATAGACATTTGAAGATTCAAATAGACCTCATGGCACTGAGGAAAGTCAGAGTATCCTTGATGGTAGCAATGGCCGAGCCCTCAGAAAGTATAACTGCCAGGAAGCCAGCTGTTTCTGCCAAACTCTGGCGGTAGATAAAAAACAAACACCATTATCTTGCCTGAAAAGTAAGTCAACAGTCTGTATAATATTCCTTTCCTATTTAGTTATCAATGGAATCACCAAACTTTTGCATTTTTACCTCAGTTTTTATTCAGTTACAAGAGGTTTCTTAAGCCTTCCTTCCCCTCTCAGACCCACACCTTAAAAAGATGGAGCTGCCACTCAAGAATATTAGTGGAAGGAAGAAAGGGAAAGAGGAAGGAAGGAAGAGAAGAGGAAAAATAAGATGTGTGTTTTCTATGCAGCCCACCCCCTGCTGCCCATGGCTCCTGTCCAGCCTACTTCCTTCTGCTCACCAAGGACACCATAGCCAAGCGAGGAAGCTTTAGTTTAGTTTCAGGCTTAAATGGGTTTCAGAGATCTCCACTGTATGTCACATAAATTTTTTTTTTTTTTTTTTTTTT